CCGACAGCCGGCGATGGCGGGGCGTGGGACACGGCGTCTGTGAGGCGGACTTACGGAGTCTCCCACGGTCGGAGCCCCAGGGGCCGCGTCACTTCGAATTCGCGTGTCCTGTGGAACCGGGTGGAACGCGCCGGTGCGCGGAGAATGAATGACTGCGCCCCCAGACGCGCCTGTGTCCTCAGGGCAGAACAGACGTGCGTTCCACGCGGACTCCACATTGTCGCTCCCGTTAGGGTTCCTTCTCCGGGTGGGACGTTCTTGGGTCTGACGGGTGCACCCCGACCTTGTGCCTTTCCCGGGGTGTCACAGGGTCGGAATCACCAGAATAATACATTTCCAAACGCGGCCGGAACACACAGGGAGTGTCCCGCGGTCGCCGGGGCTTTCAAGGGCCTGCAGTTCGGATCCCCGAGTGGCTGGGCGCGGGACTGACCTGTGAGGTGCGACCCTGTGAGGAGGGCGTGGAATGACAGCCTTTAGGAAATGGTGTTTGAAGGCAGTCATACGGCTTTCTTTTTCCTGCAAAGCCGTGTTTAGTTATACGATTTGAACCGGCCTGGAAAGGTAACTGACAAGCGTTCTCTTGCCTGGGTGCCGCGGTTCCCCAGCGTGGTGGCCAGCGGCCGTTTTCCCACGGGCGCCCCTGAGCGCCCGGAAGTCAGCTGGACGCTTACATGCGGAACTCGCCGAGTTCCCTGGAAGAGCAGGAGTAAAAACGACTTTTTTGAATTGGACTTACAGAGGGAGTTGAAATTGTTCCCCTCTATGAGAGAAAATTTCCAGCTTTACCAAGATTTGTCACAGAATCTGTGGTTTGTGACGGGAGGGGGGAGGTTTCTGTGTGGAAATGGCCATATAAAGAGGATTTCTGTGCAATGACCTAACCCCCAGTCTAGAGAATAAAGTAGGAAGTTACCGGAACATCATCGCCGAGCTCCTTGGAAGCTCCACTTGTCTAGCATGGCAAGATATGAACCGTACTTGTCCCCATTATTTAAACACGTGATATGATGTAAAGTTAGCTGTTGAAGAAAATTCTATCTAAAAAGCTAATTATAGCAATAGTATTCTCAAATTACAAATCAGATTAATTTAGGGCTAATTAATTTAGTCAACAACCGACAGCTACCTATGCAGGAGGCAACACACTAGGCACTAAACTGCAGGACATAATAGGAGACCACAGAAGGCTCAGCTCTGTCACCTTCTAATGAGAAAGGACAGCGCACAAGCAACAATCATGGATTAGGGTTACTAAGAGGAGAAACAGGCTGGGAGATACATTAGGGAGAGAGTAGGGAAGGCTTCTCTTCGAGACCCAAAGAATGCTGAAGAGCTGGCCTTGGGAAGACCCGAGGGTGGGCATGGAGGCTGCTCAATTGCCGGGACTGCATATGCCAAGGCCCCAAGTCCTGTTTGAGGAAAGGAGAGCAGCCAGGTGACTTGGAGAGAAAAGAGACAAAGGGATGGGCAGAGTGCAGATCAGCTGGGCTTTACAAGGCTATAGTAAGGAGTTGGGATTTAATTCAGGGTGCAGTTGGGAAGAGTCTTAAGCAAGGGAGAAACGATCTAAGTTTTTAAAGAATTCTCTGTCATGTGGAGAAGAGCTGGAGGAGGCAAAGTAGAAGCAGAGAGTGGTAGGATGGAGATGGGGGAGGGATCAGATGGAAGAGATAATTAGGCGGGAGAATTGGAGAACTTGGTGAGGATTGCTTTGTTCTGGGTGTCAGGAAAGCAAGTGTCGATTATGACAGAGTAGATGGTGATGGGATGTTCTGATGGTGGAGTCAGGTAGCTCTGGGGCACCAGCACAGCACCTGACACAGTTCTTCATGGATAATTGTTGCATTGACTGGAAGGGAAAGTGCACACAGGAGCATAATCACATACACCCCTTCCTGGCCCTGGGAAAAAAGTCAGCAAAGTTTATGACAAGTGTCCTCTCCCCTCTGCTCACAACTCCTCCTCCTGGGGCCCAGGCCTCAAACTGACTTAACTCTGGCCTGTCAGAATTTGAGACCATGGTCTCAAAACAGGAAAGTTGGTGGGCTTTGTCCTAAGTGTCTGACTGACAGCCTCGGCTCACCTGTGCGCCAGAGACTTCTCAGAGCCAGTAGCAAACAGTGTGACTTCCAAGTCCCCTTATCCTGTGCCAGAACCCCAGTGGGAGTTAGGACTAAGCAATGCAGCGTTCTCCTATGGAGGAAGCTCCAGCAAGGAGAAGCACAAGGGCTCTGGCCCTGCCACACCTTCATGAAACCTAAAATAAGGGGCCAGGAAGGTCCTGGGAGGAACCGGCCAGGCCAGCTTGGGCTCTGGGGCAGACAGGAGGTTTAAGTGGAAGGAGGGCTTAGAGCTCAGGGAGACCTGGGGGGTGGCAGTGTCAGAGATCATCATGGTGGATCTAGTGTCTAGTGTAGGGCCGGCCTCATAACAGGCACTCCAGACTATTACCTGTGACACTGCCACAATGTTACCTTAACTGGACTATTTCTAAGGCCACCTCCTCTTTCCTACCACCCTTGCCAAGGATCTGAATCAGTGGCCTTGAGACTACACATCTGGTTCCACATCTGGCTCTCTGTTTTCATTGCTCCTCTCCAAGGCTCCCAGCTAGGAGACCAGCCCCAGTCCTGCTCTGTCCTGATTCAGGGCCTGATAATACCAGACACTCAACCACATGTATTGAGTGAATAAAATAGGCATAAACCAGGTGATTGCAGTACTCCAGGTGAGGAATGACTGAGTCTTGGACTGAGGAGATGGCATTGGAAATGGAGAAAAAGAGACATTTAAAATATGTCTGGAAAGCAGAAGGGACAGTAGTTGCTGATGAATGGTGTAATCTCTGGGTTACCATAGCAAGCTCTTTATTTCATTTTAACTTTGTTTTTATCAAAATGTCCAGGTAAAGAAGCAAATTGTCTTTTTTGGGGGGGTGGGGGAGGGAACAGACACTAAAGTAGTATCACCATATATTTTGAGTAATAGTAGAAACTGGAGGAACTTCAAAGAGTTCATATGATATCACATAAATCAATGATCAAACCACTAAGAGACCCTAAGGGGTAAAAATTTAGAGAACTCATTTAGTATGTATGTGGGTAGTGGTAGTGTTTTTATACATAATCCAGGTATTGAATAGTTCATCCTCTCCAACTTCAAGTGTCTTGCACTTCACAAACTCTCAGTAATGTTTGTTGAGTAGATGGATGAATGAATGAATCTGTCAAGGTTTGGCAAGTATTTCAGAGACTGAAATTGCATAGTGAGCCAGATCAGACCACACCAAAGAATGAGTAGGAAACTTAACACTGCTTAATATCCCGGTTGTTTTTGCTGGCACCAAAAGGTCTTGAATACAGAAATTGTTACATTGGATAAGAATGAAAAGCAGTGTTCTTACCTGTTGAGAGTCTGTGAACTTCTTGGCACCTTATGTCCATTATTTCTAATTCTCAAACTAACCCTGTGGGGCAGATATAATCCACATTTTATGGATGAGGAAATTAAAACTCAGTAGTGGCAAAACACTTGACTACAAACTAGTGGCACTGGAATTCAAAATCATATTTGACTATTGTCACAGGTTCCCTGAAACTCGTGTTATGGGCATAACCTGTGGGTGAGAACATTCAGAGTTAAAGAGGCCATGTATTATGAAGTGAAGTTGAGTAAATCTGCTACTTTGATGTAGTTGACAATTTTACTACAGTAAAACCTATTTTAATGATAACACCAAGGGACAAGCCATCATTTCATTTATTTGATATTTATTTAGTGCCTTTTATGTGCAACATAGCATTGAATTACACACATAAAATGTTAGATGCCACATCTGCCCTCATGGAGCTTACCATCTAGAGGTGAGGTTAAAGTCACTGCCTATGTCTGCACACACACAGTGTAATCAAATGCATGATTTGAGGTATTTACAATAGAGTTTTGCTATATTTTTAAAAGTGGGCTTTATGCTAATATTTAAATCCATAAATGTCCCACTGAATCATCTCTCATCTGAAACTCTACATTTGAGAGTGCTCAAAATTTATAAATTATACATATTTGGAGTGTAAATTTAAAAACTGAAGCATAACCTATACATTCAAAACTATAAAAGGACATTTTGGAACATGTATTTTACAGGTTGAATCTGTATTAACTTACATTTCACTGTTGTAATAAAACCTTTTCTCTAAGAATGAGTAAACTATACAGTGCTTTTCTAAATACTTTTTAAATCTTGGAATTGTTTATAGTTTATTTCATTTATTTAATTTATGCACCTAAATTATGTTTTCTAAAATGCAGATAAAAGAATGGCAAACTTCTTTGCACTGAAGAACTTCACTACACTCTCAGATCTGCATCCAAATATGGCCAATCTGGTAAGCTTCAATGATATAGTGGTTTGGTTGTTCTATAATGAAATTTTCTGTGGTAATATATTGATTCTTTTGATACATGCTTGTATAATTGACAAGCACATAGGTATTCATTGCATTTGTATAACTGTTTTACATTAAGTACCCCTAAAAGGTTTTTGTAATTATGCCATCTAAATGAAAATTAGTATCTCTTTTGTCTCCAGAGTAGGAGATTGTATATATGACTAGTGATTGTTCAAAATGATCTGAAGCTTATTTTAATTACTTAATAACTACTCAAGTTTAGCATTGTACAATTAAAACATTTTTGTTCAGTAGTATCTATTCTCTAATCAAATTATCCAAGTTATAGACTTAAATACTTGCCATTATGCTGCTTTTATGACATGAAGATATACAACAGGTACATTTCTGAAATGATTATGTGAAAATTCATTTTGGGGGGAAGGGTTATGGGGGAATTCAATAATTTCCAATATAACAAGACTCTTACTTATTTAAAGTAAAGCTAGGTAGAATCATTTTATAAGGTGAATTTATTGTAAAGCAATTATCACTCCCTTACCTTTCTTGCTCCTGAGCAGTCTGCTATTTACATTTGGCACTTGCAAATCTGATTTCTTAAAATAGGATAAATTTATATGTAACTTTAATAGTTTGCAATTCAAAATCTATTAATGTTAAACATAATTATTGCTCTTATAGTTTTTTTGAATGATAAACTGTTTGCTAATTGCCTCTTTAGTTAGAAAGTTTTACTCAATATTTCCATTAGTTTGTTTTTCCAACAAAATTCAGTGAGATCTGAAAGCATATGTAATTTAAGAAATAATAGCAGTGTGTATAAATGTAATAAGACTAATTGCTCAACTAGGATATGGCAATCTTAAAAGCTTGAATGTATTTATTTATTTATTTTTAATATATTTTTATTGATTTCAGAGGAAGGGAAAGGGAGAGGGAGAAACAGCAATGATGAGAGAGAATCATTGATTGGCTGCCTCTTGTACGTCCCACACTGGGGATCGAGCCTGAAACCCCTGCATGTGCCCTGACTGGGAATCAAACCATGACCTCCCAGTTCATAGGTGGACACTCAACCCCTGAGCCACGCTGGCCAGGCTTGAATGTATTTTAAATGTAACAGGTTATTATAAGGTTAAAATCAGTTGCTAGATTAATAATATAAATTTAGGTTTATCCTTTCAGAAAAAGCTAATGTTTTTTATTTCTCAAAGCACTTTTTAAAAAAATATATTTTTATTGATTTCAGAGAGGAAGGGAGAGGGGGAGAGAGAGATAGAAAAATCAATGATGAGAGAGAATCATTGATTGGCTGCCTCCTGAATGCCCCACTAGGGATCGAGCCCCACAACCCAGGCATGTGCCCTTGACCAGAATCAAACCTGGAACCCTTTAGCCTGCAGGCCAATGCTCTATCCACTGAGCCAAACTGGCTAGGGCTCAAAGCACTTTTTAATATTTAATTTTTCTTTGGTAGTCACTAAAGAGAACATTAAAAAGGTTAAAGAGATGTTAATATATTTAAGGTTTAAGATCTAGGACTTTAGAGCTTAGATTTATTAGCAGCAATATACTACAAGTTATGTTGCAGTCTAATTTATATTACTGTTCAGCATGTTTGGATTAAGAAGCTAAGCAATTTTATGTGGATTGTTAGAAAACCCTAAATAAAAGAAAGCTTTGAAGTCCATGGCAAATTAAATTGCATTATACATGTGCTTTGAATGAATTCAGTAAGGATTGATAGCATAGGGCAGTTACTGTACTCTATCTAGTGATTGAAAATAAAGTAGAAACATACTAAGTATTAAATGATTATATTTGTAATAGTAGTTAACTATGTTATTGCTTTGTACTATTCCTTGTGGAATTGAACATTTATGAACTTATTTTAGAAGTTTGTCTGGAATAAATACATTTAAGTGGTTCCTAGTAAAAAATGTTTGTTAGAGCCAGTAAAATATAACAAGTCCATGAAATTAAATTTACCGTCTACATCTGTGTTTAATATTTGTTTTCTGTAACCTTTTTGTTTTTCAGAAAATAATCGGTATAGTTATTGGGAAAACAGATGTCAAAGGCTTTCCAGATAGAAAAAGCTGAGTTTTGTTTAACAGTTTGCTTCACTTTTCATCAATTGTGGCTTATGACTATAACAAAATGTATTTAATGATTAAATTTCTCATGCCTGTTTAACTCCTTAAGAGCAATGGTCGTGTTCTCTATTGTATGGTAAAGTACTCAATTTAAGGCTATGTGCATGAGGACATTAAAATCATTTAAAAAATATTTTTATTGATTTTTGAAAGGAAGGGGGAGGGAGGGAGGGAGGGAGGGAGAGAGAGAGAGAGAGAGAAAGAAACATCAATGATGAGAATCATTGATTGGCTGCCTCCTGCACGCCCCACCCTAGGGATCAAGCCTGTACCCGGCATGAGCCCTGACCAGGAATTGAACCGTGACCTCCTGATTCATAGGTCAATGCTCAACCACCGAACCATGCTAAAACCATTTTTAATGATTTTATTTGATATTTCTCAAACACATATTTGAAAGCTTAGAGATAAAATGCCAAAGTAGCTAGTTAAGTTGATCAACTTATTAATGTGTATTAATGTGTATTTATTGAGTACCTCTGCAGTGTTAAACCCTGCATAAAGGTAACAAAGGGCAATTGTAGTCTCATATCCTCTTCAGATATCATAGTGTCTGAGAGTCTAGACTTATAGCTAGATTGACTGAGCTCATTTAGTCACTGAGTAATCTGAAATGTGTCCTATATCCAGCTGTGAAATCGAGATAAATAGAGCTGGTGTGAGAATTAAATGTAAGGGTATGTGACCCATAGTAACTATCACTTTCAGCCTAAGAGATACAGGTACACGGGTAAATCTCAAATAAGACAGAAAGTGATAAGAAAGAAGGTTTTGGAGCAGGGATATGTCATGATAGAGTAGTGTTGAAGGAGAGAAGTATGGCAGCAGTAGCTACATATTTACTCCAACAACCAGATAATTCAGTGAAAAATATTCATCTTTCATTTAGTTAACTTTAGCTTTAGTGGTCCTTACTGAGTTGCTCAAACTGTGCAAGAGTGTTAGGACTATGGAAACATAATCCAAGATTAAAATTGGATTTTTAAAAAGAACTCATCTTCAAACTTTTGTAGTTAACATGCAAAGTTACAATATAGAATGTCATATCTAGCAACTCATTACTATTAGCTTTAAAAGTGTCAATGGTGTTTATTAAAGGTTACAGTGTATTTCCATACAGCTTGAGGGAATTAGAGCTCTAGTAAGCCAGCCAATAATTTTGGAAGAAGACATTAATTTTGCTTGAATCATCTTAGTGATTGTGTTATTTGACTCATGGTAGAATGATAGGCACCTTTATTTTTATTTTATTTCATGTAATATTCTGTTATTATTTTTGAGGTAAAAAACGAAGATGTCATCTCTCACCCATACTTGTTTGTGTCTTCACTTAATTAATTAGATCAGAATTACCATTTGAGTAATTTGAAAAAGTTTAAATACCTGTTTTCTAAGCTTTACAAGGGATAATTTAAAATACATTAATTATATAGGGGGATAAATGATGATGGAAAAATACATGAATTTTTAAAAGTCAATATTTAAATAGTAACTAAATTTACAACAATAAAATACCATTTTCACTTAGACTGTGAAGGTAGAGAACCACTTCTGTAGTGTTTGACTACTTTATATGATTATATGTACAGTATTCCTTTTTTGGAGAAAATGTGCTTATTGACTTTAAAAAACATTAAACATATAACATATATAATATATTTTCATTAAAAATCAAGCAGTACAGAAGGTCATAGAGTTGAAAAGTAAAATTCTTCATTTAATCCCCAACTCTTCCCAGCCCAGTCCCCACCCCAAAGGTAACACTAATTACAGTTCCATAGATATCTATAATTTATATATGCATGTTAGGTTGTGTTGTTTTTTTAATTAGCAAAAGCAATAAAAATTTTTCTTAAAGATGTACTTGCTGACCTCTAGTGGTATCATTTAGTAGCACACATTTATTTGTTTTCAAATAATTTAGATTTGAATTTGACCCAGGTTAAAACAGTAAGAGTAAGAGAGAAATGGATGATCTAAGCTAATATCTGGATGACTCAAACCTATGTGTAATTTCCCTTCAAATATACAGGTAACTGGGAAAAGGGAACAGGGGTTAAGTAAGGTGATTATCTACTTTGGCAGCTTTGAAATTCATAAAAGCAAGTATAACTTATTACAGAATTTATATTTGAAATAATATTTTATATCATGTATTTGAGTATTATTATTATCATCAGAATAATATTTTTTCAAAACTATAATGGAACATTTCATTTGAAAAATAAAAACATTGGTTTTCCCTTAGATATTGGGTCAGAAAGGTACACTTTCAGTTTCACCATTCGTGATTCACCAACACATTTTGTAAACGCAACATCCTGGGGCAATGAAGATTACATCAGATCACTTTCTGCCAGCTTTAGGGTTGGTGAGTGTGGTAAGTTGGCATTGATTCTTAAATTGTATTTATTATAGTATTATTTCTTTGTTATGGTTGTAGTAACTACTCTGAGTTAAAATACAATACAGTAGTTGCCCTTATATAGGGGGACTAAGTTCCAAGACCCCCAGTGAAGGGATACCTGAAAATGCAGATAGTACCAAACCATATAGTATATGTATATATGTGTGTGTGTGTGTGTGTGTGTGTATCCTATATAATAAAAGGCTAATATGCAAATCGACCAGTGGAACAACCAGTCACGGTGATGCACACTGACCACCAGGAGGCAGACGTTCAATGCAGGAGCTGCCCCCTGGTGGTCAGTGTGTTCCCACAGCCAACCTCCCACTGGCTAACCTCCCCCAGTCCTTCCCTGCAGCCAGCCCTCACCTCCCATTGGCCTGATGTGGGGACTGGACAGCCAACCTCTCGCAGCCCCTCCCCTGGCCAGCTGGCCCCAATCAGCCCCATTGCTGGCCAGGCCGAGGGACCCCACCTGCACATGAATTCATGCACTGGGCCTCTAGTTAAAATATAAGAAAAAGTAAGAGCTTATGAATTAAGTTTTAATTGTTATTTTTACACCACTAAATTTCAGAGAGGCAGCCAATCATTGATGTTTCTACCTCTCTCTCTACCTCTCCCTTCCTCTCTGAAATTAATAAAAATATTTTCAAAAAAGTAGCACTATATATATATATATATATATATACACATACAGTTTTTTCCTGTACACATAGACCTGTGATAAAATTTAACTTATAAATTAGGTACATAAGAGATGAACAACAATAACTAATAAAATAGAACAATTACAACAATATACTATAATAAAATGTATGTGAATGTGGTCTCTGTATCTCAAAATATCACTGATCTGATCTGATAAAAGAGACAGCTACTAAATGACTAATTAGTAGGGAATGTCTGCAACCTGGATACGAAGGGATCATTCACATTTCAGGAGGGATGGAGTGGGATGGCTGACCTCTAGTGGCTCGAGATTTCGTCATGCTATGCAGAATCACACACATTTTAAAGCTTATGGATTGTTTATTAATGGAATTTTTCACTTAATATTTCCAAATTGTGGTTGACTGTAGGTAACTGAAACAGTGGAAAGTGAAACCATGAATACGGGGGGACTACTGTAAGACGCAATTCATAATTCTCAAGAACCTTATCAGAGAAAAAGTCAAGATTTAAGAACATAATACAAGGCATTCAGCATTATTACTTGAAACATACAAATGTAATAGTCACATATTTTTACTCAGTAGCCTTATATCTGGTTTATTTCATATTTCAGTTTACATCAATCCCTTTTGTTGCTAAAATAATTTAACATAATAGGGATGCTAAATAGATTTTGATAAAATAGATTTTAATTTTAATGGATTTTTGTTGTTAATCCTCATCCAAGGATATTTTTTCAATTGATTTTTAGAGAGAGTGGAAGGGAGGGAGTGAGGGGGAAAGAGAGGTCAATTGGTTGCCTCCCACATGTGCCCTATGGATGGGGGCATGGGGT